GCATGCCACACGTCTATACGTAGACGAGCTTGTTAAAATGTTAAAAAAATGTTAGAAAAAATGTTTTAAAAAATGTTCATCCATTTTTTTAGCTGGTTTCAGTGGTGACTGGATCGACACAGCTTACATCAATTTTTATTGAGATAGAACACACTGCAAACAGTGTGAAACGTACAAAATTGTAAAAAATAGTGCTGAGGTACAATTTGCGAACAATAGTTAAGTTAAAATTGGTCATTTACTTATGAATTATGATGTCAGAGAAATTAATTTAAAAAGTCCACCGATATTTTTCTGATATTATTATTTTTTGGCTTTTTTATCAGGTCATTATTAACGCTATTTCTGATAATAATCACGCTCAAAAACGCGCTGAGCCATTTAAAGTATACGAAAAAGTTAAAATCACAAAACTGATGAAACCGTTCAGGCCTCGAAGAGGCTTGTTTGATATTAAGATTGCATTCGATTTCGATGCTTCATTTTTTAAAAGATTTTACGCCATCTCACAATTAACGGTGCACATTTGAGGATAATGCGCAGAAACAATGGTGATTACATTCATTGATTAGCAATAATTCGTATATCGTTGAGAGCTGTTGCGAGGAGCATGATAAATGTAGGAAGTATCATTAGAATATATGACCTTCTCCTCGGAAAATGACCAAATGAATGAAAATGATTATTTATTGATGGATTGATGATATTTCGGTCACAGACCTTCGTCTAAATCGAATTCGTGAAATCGTACAAGGCAAAAGAAATCGTATCAAATCGTATCAAATCGTACAAGGCAATTTTGCCTTGTACGATTTCACGAATTCGATTTAGACGAAGGTCTGTGACCGAAATATCATCAATTCATCAATAAATAATCATTTTCATTCATTTGGTCATTTTCCGAGGAGAAGGTCATATATTCTAATGATACTTCCTAGATTAGCAATAATGTTTGTTTTATCTTTAAGAAATGTTTCTGAATCAATTAATCGGTGACTTACTTGGCTTAGTGGCAGCAATTCGTTGGGTATTGCTAATTTTGGTGAATCAAAAATGATTATTACCTAATCATCACATCGCATTTGTCGATGTGAAATAAATCTTCTCCGCCCGGTTGGTGGTGACTAATGATTAATAAGTATCAATTCAAATAAAAAAATCGATTCGATGGACCACTTAGCTTACTTCAATCCTTCCCGCGGCACTGTTCAGTTGGCATCTAAATCTTTCCCTGGCATCTAAGGCGCATGACACCATTTACATAGTTTGAGCCTTGAGCTCGACTATTAGCAGTAGTCTACCCAGATAAATGATCTTTGACGTCTTCCTCTTTTCCTGTTGCTGTCATGCAGCAGAAACAGGCAAGACGAGTCGACCAGAAGGATGACGGCGTCACCCTACACGATTTTAGGGCATCACGCCCCACTGGGGGCTCAACGCCGCGCACGGCCTCGGATGTGCCCCAGATATCACATGCTGAAATTGGCAGTCGAAACAGGACGTGCTGCTTAAATTTATCAATGGAAGGGTCAAGGGAAAGATGTGTGAATCATCATTCACCCTCCGCCCTGTATCGACGTAAGTCGGAACAAATCTACATATGCCTATCCAGATAGAGAGTCTGGATCGGACTCTGTCGGAGTCGGGATCGGAGTCAGAATCGGAGTCGCAGCCGACAGCGCCCGGAGTCTTTGTCTTTGTCTGAGTCATTGAGTCGGAACAGCATCCTCAAGGTCCGAACTCCGAAACCTTGCAGCGGTGGTGTCAACGGGCTAGCGGCTCCCCCCACCCTCCAGTCTCTCTCTCTCTCTCTCTCTCTCTCTCTCTCTCTCTCTCTCTCTCTCTCTCTCTCTCTCTCTCTCTCTCTCTCTCTCTCTCTCTCTCTCTCTCTCTCTCTCTCCCCTCTCTCTCTCTCTCCTCTCTCTCTCTCTCTCTCTCTCTCTCTCTCTCTCTCTCTCTCTCTCTCTCTCTCTCTCTCTCTCTCTCTCTCTCTCTCTCTCTCTCTCTCTCTCTCCCCCCCGACTCCCCGTTCGTGAACAGTTCGACCCGTGCTGCCATCCGTTGGAGCCCTGGTGCTGCCACCTACCGCGCATTGGCTGAGTGATGCAGTGTGATGAGAGCTTCGCTCTGCTGGGTCGGATAGGTTCTTTCCACTAGCGCACTAGCGCATGATGATCCCCTTAGCCTTGATTATTTTCTACCAGATGGCAGATGTTAGTACAGACTACAGATGGTTATCTGCATTACCTGGACCATTCAAATGTAAATCTGATCTACATATTGCTGCGGCTTTGTCGCTAGCATTGCTGTATCCGGAAATGTGATGCATGACCTGTTCTGTGCCCTGTTTTGTCTTGCGTCATGCGCTGTCTTTTGTGCTATCATGTACGGCATACTTTCTTGCTGCAGGCGTCATACTGCCTAAAACGGTTTTCTTATTTACGAAGAAAAATCCGAATTTAGCTATCTTATGCATTGCTGTGCATCTTGAAGAACACTTTTTCTAAAAGCTACAAGCTGTATTTAGTTTTTTTCTCTCTCTCTACTATCAGGAGAGCGACTATGTTTCGCAATATCACTAACGCCACGGAAGGGAAAAGCGAAGTAAATGCCCCACCTTTTAACCACGCCTGTTAGTGGTAATGTTTCAGGGCTTTAAACATACCTATTCCTATTACATTTCTCATAACTCATTTTTATGCTTATTTCTCCACTTGAATTTCATTCAACGCATGATTTCATTTAATTTTCTAATATGATTTAATTTGCATTCGTTTCATCATCACTTATTTCTGGACAATAGCATGAGTTGCAATGAAATGCCACCAAGCAAGAAGAAAGTCAGAAAAAACAAACTGCATCTATTCAAAGCCACAGGTCATCTGCGCCAACATCCCGCTCTCTGCAGTCTTCGCCCAACAAATCCAGCCTCTCCAGTTGTCGTACCCGGAAACAGCCGAAGAACCCGGCGTTGCTTGGTGCTCTTCGCTCCTCTTGGACGATTCGTCCACCCCATGGTGACTGTCCGATGCACGTGTCCACGGGGTTTCCAGATATGTTGCGTCAGGCTCCTCTTGCCTCCATCGCTGCCCGGCTGTCCCCGCTCCTTGAGGGGCACTCGAGACTCACGGTCCGCCGCAGGGGCGCGGGAACTACTTTCCGACTGGGGGGGCACACCATAATAGAGATCAACCTAGGGTACCCCCAAATCTAGTTTTCTCACCGGTTTTAGGCCACTTATTTTTCATCCTTCGGCTTTTTCAACAAAAAAAGAAAACATTTGCAAAAAAAGTGTGGTATTCCGTCTCAAAGCTGTGGGGGCACCGCCCCCACGGCCCCAGAGTTGGGGGGGCAAGCTGCCCCCACTGCCCCCCCCCCCCGGCTCCCGCGCCTATGGTCCGCCGCCTAGGTGTCTCTCCCGCTGTCCGGGAATCGTGATTCATCACGGAGCAGAGACACGATTCGCAGAATGGGCGTGGCAACCAGGAAGCGTGACAGATGGTATGTGTGGGATGTAATTGTGATTTTCAGAATGCCACCTTGGTGTGACTTACTGTTTTTAACTGAATGAACAATTTTTATACAAATATGAGTTGGTAACCAAATTCATGCTAAATCGTAATTTTTAATGTGCTGAATTTATCGATGTGTTTGTCTTCATTTACAATCATTCCAAGGTAGCAATACGTATCTTAATTACATTGACGTAGCATAACGTCTGTCAAGACAGCCTCAGATTCAGATTCACTTTCAGAATCACATTCGGACCCCCTTAGATTTTCATAAAAACTGGTCCATGTGTACAGTTTTGGACGCTGATTCCAATGGTGAAGTCTGTTTTTCGCCACATATTATACTTTGGCCCCTAGAGGCATTCAAAGTTTTTTTGGGCGAAGGGGGACCCCCTTAGATTTTCATAAAAACTGGTCCATGTGTACAGTTTTGGACGCTGATTCCAACGGTAAAGTCTGTTTTTCGCCACATATTATACTTTGGCCCCTAGAGGCATTCAAAGTTTTTTTTTTGGGAGAAGGGGGACCCCCTTAGATTTTCATAAAAACTGGTCCATGTGTACAGTTTTGGACGCTGATTCCAATGGTGAAGTCTGTTTTTCGCCACATATTATACTTTGGCCCCTAGAGGCATTCAAAGTTTTTTTGGGGCGAAGGGGGACCCCCTTGGATTTTCATAAAAACTGGTCCATGGGTACAGTTTTGGACGCTGATTCCAATGGTGAAGTCTGTTTTTCGCCACATATTATGCTTTGGCCCTAGAGGCATTCAAAGTTTTTTTTGGGGCGAAGGGGGACCCCCTTAGATTTTCATAAAAACTGGTCCATGTGTACAGTTTTGGACGCTGATTCCAACGGTGAAGTCTGTTTTTCGCCACATATTATACTTTGGCCCCTAGAGGCATTCAAAGTTTTTTGTGGGAAGGGGGACCCCCTTAGATTTTAATAAAAACTGGTCCATGTGTACAGTTTTGGACGCTGATTCCAACGGTGAAGTCTGTTTTTCGCCACATATTATACTTTGGCCCCTAGAGGCATTCAAAGTTTTTTGTGGGAAGGGGGACCCCCTTAGATTTTAATAAAAACTGGTCCATGGGTACAGTTTTGGACGCTGATCCCCAAAACTGTACCGTCCCGTCCAAAACTGTACCCATGGACCAGTTTTTATGAAAATCTAAGGGGTCCCCCTTCCCCCAAAAAACTTTGAATGCCTCTAGGGGCCAAAGTATAATATGTGGCGAAAAACAGACCTCACCGTTGGAATCAGCGTCCAAAACTGTACACATGGACCAGTTTTTATGAAAATCTAAGGGGGTCCCCCTTCGCCCAAAAAAAACTTTGAATGCCTCTAGGGGCCAAAGTATAATATGTGGCGAAAAACAGACTTCACCATTGGAATCAGCGTCCAAAACTGTACCCATGGACCAGTTTTTATGAAAATCTAAGGGGGGCCGAATGTGATTCTGAAAGTGAATCTGAATCTGAGGCTGTCTTGACAGACGTCGTAGCATAACGATGCGCGTCACCATCATATAGGCACTATCATTATGCGCTTCCTAGAGGAGATGCTTTTATCTAACTTTCGAACTGGGCCATTCATTATCTAAGTTGATTGAGTTTGTTTATCATGCTACAAACGGACCTGCTAAGATTCAATATTCATCGTCTTAAAGGTAGTGTGCCACCTTTGGAAGATTTCCCATTTTATTTTTCCTAGGATAAGAAGCTTCTGTTTTTACCTAATATCGCAAAAAAATCAAAAATGGGCCTGGAATAGTGCCTTTTTCGCCTAAAAGTTTATCGGTTTTTCTATATGTATAACAACTGTAGTGGGCTGACGTGCATGACATGACATGACGTTTATTTGGGTAATGCCTTTGCAACGGCCCCCACAAACACAACAGTTTTACATGACACGACCAACACGAACACGAACACATACTACAAAGTAGGTATCAAGTACCTATATGACATTTTCAGTGATGTTTTTCTCGTTTTTTTTTTTCATGTTATTTCCATTTAGTTGGCTTTAATTGAAAATATTGTTTTCGTAATCTTTTTCTTTTCATTCTTTGTCATCATTTTCATAGTTTTAAATTTTCATAGTTGCACTGATTTGCTGACACTTCACTGCCTCATCCTTTTTCTTCTTGCTTCCCACATCTTGTAAACACTATGTTTATTTTTCTCCATTTGCTTTTCATCATTACTAAATAAAAGGTTTGCCAATATTTCGGTGCTATCTTCCACATGTGGTCGTTGCAACGGCTCAATTACAGATCTCACATCATTGAGCGCTTCGCATCTTAAGAAAAAATGTTCCAAATCTTCTGATTCTCGTCTGCAGAGATCGCATAGGCTGTTTGATTGGTTGATTGATTGGAATTGTCTGCTTTTTATTTGTAATGTGTTCGATCTTGCCCTGTACAGGCATACAGAGGCTGCTGTGTTATCATATACTTTTTCTTCCCTTATCTCTTTTTCTTCCCTTGCAAACAGGCGTCGGCAACAATCGCGAATGCGGCGCACATGTGACAATAAGCAAAGGTCATTATAGAGTTACGACGTACGGGAATGAGTTATCAGCTGTCTCATCGTAGACAACACAATGTCGAGCCTTAAACTGTAAGCCTGTATTGGTATTGTTTCTTTTATTTGGCTGTCGAACATTATTTATGGTTTGAAATATGATTTTTTGTAAAATAATTGATATGAAAAAGCCATCTCTTAACCCGCGAGTTGCTGGGGGGGCGTTAAACGCCCCCACTTTTTTCGCCGGGCCATAGCATAAAAACGGCGCGCCGCAGGCGCGCCAAATTTTGGGTACCTGTAGGGAATTGATTGAAATTCATTGTGACAAAGTTTCAAAAAAATCGGTCGGAAAATTTTTGAGATATCGAGGTTTTAGTGACGTCATGATTTCTGAGTTTTCGACCAAAAACGGCATATGTTCAAAAAATCATATAAAATCACAGAATAGACATACAGACATGCCGTAAACGCCATTAAGCTGCCAATACCATGATGGATCAAATGGCTATCTTCGATTATTGATTATCGTTCCACATTTTCCAAAATCTTGAACTGAATCTTGGCAATTTTTCGTGACTTCTTCACGACCATGATGCATGAATTTCTTAAATTGAACTTTTTGAGCCAAACACGTACACATATAATAAAATGAATGTCACCATCGTGTTCTACGCCCCAAATTACCTATAAAACATGTGTCACAGGCTGCGAATATCAGTTTTGATTTTCGGGGATATGTGCCTACCCGGTTGACCTGACCTTGACCCTGACCTATGCTTGACTGACCCCTATATGGAGCTGACACTCTTGTAGGCCTTATAAGATGGATTGTGCACCGTTTTGACAGAGTTTATGGTGAGAGGCGCCCATTGCGAAGTCCTGAAGTCCATGCTACTGAAAGCCCGATTTCAGGTGTTTGACCTGACCTTGACCCGACCTGTGACCTCAAAATTCAACTTTAAAGTACTTATCTGAAGCGTCTCGTCGCGCCCTTTCGTTTGCCGCCTCGTGCGTTTCGCTGCGCCTATTGGTTCTCGAGTTATCGGCTGGGGGCGTTTAACGCCCCCCCCCCAGCAAAACGGTGGGTGGCGAAATACCCCAGTAACTGCCGGGTTAAGTTATGACCCCATTTCACCACACGCAAGTGGCAGAAATGACAATGATCAGCTGACGCATTTTTCTTGGCCGAAGTCAGAGCGCGCGGCCCGACGCACCCCCACCGCACCACAAAGTATTACCGGGGTTACATGAGCGATCCGTTCCAAATACGCACCACGCTAATGCGCATCAGCTCCCCACAAACGTATCTACGGCACCGGTTACATGAGACTAATTCGTTTTATCTACGTCAAACGGATCTTGTTTGGCTCACCCGGGCTGCCTCCTCGACGGCCGGTAATTCGCATCACAAACGGAATAGGATTAGCGTACAGTCATGGCGCAGTTGCGGCATTTACCGGGACGACTGAACTAAATTTTAAATACTTTTATCATTTGATAGGCTCAAAAACATTTAAAATTAACATGAAATCAAAAAATGAAAACAAAGTTTTCTTGTTTTAAGTCAGTGGGCACTGATTTGCCATGCAGCGACAGCAGGGTGGTCAGAAAAAAATTATCTATCAAAATATTTCATTCATTTTATTTCACATGCAAAGACTAAACCAAAATACCAACATTTTTTTGCTATTTTCTACGAGGCAGCCAATAAAAAAATGCTTAGTATTTTGCATTTTGACGCTTCCAGTCAGCAAAGAATAGTTCTTGTGAAATACGGCCCGAATCGTGTGCCTCAGGCCTGGTGGTTACATGAGCGATCCGTTCCCAAATACGCACTACGCTAATTCGCATCAGCTCCCCAAGAACGCATTCGGTGCATCGACTACATAAGCAAATTCGTATCAGTGACGTCAAACGGATCTAGTTTGGCTCTCGGCCCGATGCGCATTACAAACGAAATAGCATACAAATGTGGCGCACTTCCGTAGCAATAGAGGTGACTGAATTAAAAACTTAATATCTTATGTCTTTTTTGCATTTAATCTGCTCAAAACATTCTCAATTAACTTAACAAAAAAAGTTAAACATAAAGTTGTCTTGCTTTGACTCATTGAGCACTTGCCTCTCTTGATTCGTCTGTAGTGCTGTCAGAAAAATGTTTCAACTGAAAGTACTTTGATATTTTCTTTTTGGTTTTCACTATATTTATTGACAAAATACCGACATATTTTTTTTAATAATTATTTCAAAAGAAGCAAATGAAAAAAATACCTATTATTTTGCATTTTAATGTTTCTTTTTGGAAAGAAATAGCTCCTGTAATACGTATCTTGGTGCTATTCGCTTCTAAGCCTCTTTCTCAGCGGATTTTGTTTGGACCGCCGATTCGTATTAGCAGGTGGATACATGAGTCGGTAGTACGCTCCTGATTCGCATTAGCGGTGAATCCGATCGTGATGTTACAGGCAAAGTGAAAACTCGGGCATTTTGCAAAATGCCTAGGCAATTTGCAAAATGCCTGACCGGCCAGGTATTTTGCAAAATGCCTGGGCAGTTTGCAAACTGCCTGACCCACCAGGCATTTTGCAAACTGCCTGAAATATTTTCCCAGGCATTTTGCAAAATGCCTGACATCAAACTCGCACTAGCGGTGATGTATAGGTAAGCATCATTTGTAACTGGCGCTTACAAAAGTAAATCGCTGTCAATGCGCACCAAGTGAGAAGACACTGCGTTCTCCGGGTAGCGCCGCCGAGTTCAGGTTACTGAGCCCCAGCGGCCGTCGGGTGCCGAGCACCGCGCGTGTTTTCGTTGGTAAACATGCGCTCGGTACAATAACTGCGCTGTTTCTAAGAGCCCTTGGTGGCTTTTTGAAAATACTGTGGGTGGATATTGATCTCTATCAAATTACGAAAATTCGATCGTTACACGTTTACATAATCAATCGCCTCTGCCAGAACAGTAGCCCACCAGAGCAGAATACTGGACATCGCAGCTTTTATACACACGGGTACAACTGTCAAATCCGTATATACGAAAGGTACGGAGACGCCTATATACGGCCTTGCGGAGACGGTGGCTCAAGTCCATTCAGCGGTAGTTCCATCTCGACGGAATTGACGCAAGACGTAGTTTACAGATATCACGAAATTGATGCCCGGTTGGCACGGTCTGTTATGTTGTCCCTCCCATGTCCCTCCTAAGTGCTGAATGGGCGTAATTTTAACGGGTTCGGCACCAGGGCATCTGGACCAAGGCGCTCGACATCTAAATCGGCCATTCCCCGGTATCTGAAGACCTTACCATAAAGCTGAGGCCGCTAAACCTCAGGCTGCAACCCTGAATTTATACCGTCATCCAAAAGTGATGCAGCAGGATTTCGCCAAGACTCACCAAATCTGGACCATTCAGGACTAGAGATTCAGACTTTTTCAGTCATGAGGCGATATTAGAGCTTTTTTAAGTTACTAACCATCCCGACAACCAGTTCTGGGCCAACAGCAGCTCAGAGGCGCTGCACCGTCGAGACAGTGAAGCATCCACTGGTGATTCTCGTTTGGGGTATGATGGGCTACAGAGGCCTCTTTGAGCTTCACCATGTGCCGCAGGGACAGACCACGTGGCCGCTGATAACTTGTCAGCGAGGTGCTGGAGAACACTGACGCAACTACGAGCAATCAATTTCGGGACACAAGTACAATATCCCGCAACAGTTTCGTGACAACCTGTATTCGTGACACCCCTGTATTTGGGCTCAGGCTCAGTGGAACGTATATGGTCAACGCCTGAAGTCAACAAAAACGGTGGAATATATGGAAACTCAGGCATTTTGCAAAATGCCTGGCGGGTCAGGCATTTTGTAAAATGCCTAGGCAGTTTGCAAAATGCCTGGTGGGTCAGGCAGTTTGCAAACTGCCTAGGCATTTTGCAAAATGACTGGCGGGTCAGGCAGTTTGCAAACTGCCTAGGCATTTTGCAAAATGCCCGGGTTTTTACTTTGCCTGTAACAGTGATACGTATTTGCTTTGCTCATGTAACCGCGGATCGGATCGCCAATTCGTACTAGCAGGTGGCTACATGAGTCGGTAATGCGTTCCTAATTCGAATTAGCGGCTAAATACGTATTTACTGTGCTCATGTA